TAGATCCTTCAAATTAGAAATTTCGTTTAATCCCCTCGTCCCTCCAGACGTTCCAATTCATTTAGAAATCTATCGAAATCAGATTATTTTTGAGACTGATATCCCAATATCATCCAAAGTCACCCGACCCCATTGGTGCTATGTGGGAAAATTTGATCTCGAGTACGAATCCCTCAGGTAAGTTGATTCCTTATCATATCAATCATCCGATCTGCCCAAACTCTCAGACTCACTTCAGAAGAGAAGGAAATCTGTTTTCTTGATTTCACGTCCCTTCTTGCTTCACGCCACCGACGCTTCACAGGAAGATTCCTCAGCGACAGTTTTTCAGTGTCGTTACAATTCTTAGAGAAATCGAGTACGAAGCCCCTGCTCCCCAAAGCCGTCATCTTCAGGAAAGCCATTAGAAGAGAAAATAGAACCGAAAGTCGAAAAGATTCAGATTTTAGAGAGAAAGCTTGATGACGAAATTGTGGCGATTCCAAGAGAGAGGAGCACTTCCATCCCAATTTGTTTGAAATCTGTCAAGTTGGAAACAAGTCAAGCTCTGAATATTCCATATAGAAGTTTGGTATTGATCGTCAAAAAACTCGAAGGAATTGATTTTGAGTCATTTGGGAATTTATCTGTTAAGTTTAACGTAGAGTATCTCCTATGTACTTCTTATATATATATATATATATAATCTATGAATAAAATGCAGAAATAAGTAAAATAAGTTACATGGACAATCCTCAATTTTTCAGGAAATGACAATTGGATGTAATATCGAATATAGAGGATCATTGATCGAATTTCTTGGGGCCGGAAATTCTTTGAATACGCAACCATCCGTAACAGTTTTTTCCTGTTGACTTCCGCCTCCCGTTTGATTGTCGAAATGACGACCAATTAGTTCGGTACTTTCGGACACATCTCATTCCAACCAAGTCTCGTGTCTTCAGGATCAATTTTGTGATGTCTACCTATGAGTCGACATCTGATGATCCAATCACAGTCGCCCAAGCTGAACTTGATCTCAAGTCTCTTATAGCAACGGGGGATCGAGTGTTTGGCGGTCCATTGCCGGCAAGTCACTTCATCGATTCCCTTGTCCAATTCACTCTGCAGGTTGCAACAGTCCCGCGTTCTGAGACACTCTCATCTGCCTACGTCTCGATTTCGTTTCTCACCGACAAAATCTCCAAAGCTGTCGTTAATTCACGACTCCCGAATCTCAAGTCCCAAGAGTCTCCATCCCGCTCGCCTACAAGCATCTCACAAAGTCAGCAGATCAACAAAAATGGGTTGTGTTCCCAAATTCCGATTTCCCATTCTCCATCGGCGGGTCTTTCCATCGGACCCTTGATGTCGTCCTGCCGTCAGGGTGGGGACAGTCCTGATGTCGCAGCGTGTTCGAGAGACGCAACACATATTGCGTTTGTCGTGGAAAATGTTTCCCACCAGAGTTCACCTTCAGACGTGCGTCGCAAAGTCGGTCTCCTCTTCGATCTCTTCTTTTTTCTTCAGTTATCTTTAATCGTTCGGATGACGACATTGACGGAAACGAAGGACGTTCACGTTGGAATGCCTTCTCTCCTGAAATTAGAACCCACTGGATTACCGAAATACCTGAAGTGAGGTGTTCATTGATAAAATGTCCAATCGACTGATTTGTTTGATTTTCAGAGTTGAGCTGCTGGATGCATTAGAGAATCCAGTTGGATCTGGTTCAATTCAAATGAATCCATTTTATGATCTCTTCGATAGTTCAATCAATCGACTATCAGAAGGATCAGATTTATCCCAATCAGTCAGGACAAAGGTAAATTAGTAAGAAGCATCTCTCATCATCATCATCATCATTCACCAGATTGTCGATCAAAAGGGAGAATCGAAGGCGGAAGTGACGTCAAGATTTATTCTGATTTCCGCAGACGGGATCGACTTTCTCTCTGACGGAGCATCTTTTTATAGCGGGAGTGGGACAACGCAAAGCAAGGCATCGGTTTGGGGGGGTCTGTTCGAGTCAAACTCCCATCCCCTTGTTCTCTGCGACTCACCAATTCGTCGACGAGTCGAATGGGACACGAACATGAGAAAGTTGAGTGACAAGTTCTTGGACAATGAGGAAGATGAGTCAACCCGAAATGATATGTTGATGAACACACCCAAAGAAACACGAAGAGGTCGTGGCAATGACAGATTCAGTGCAAGAGATACTCCTCTTCAAAACTCCCAAGATGACGTCGTTGCAAATGAGAACGACGCGCAGTTCTCGTCACGAGAGTCTCAAGGATCGGAATCATCAGAAACGAGAAAGGCAGCTGAAGCTACGAATGAATCCAGCCATGGCGAAAATTGTGAACCAACTGAATCAAAGCTCCTTGCATCAAAGTTTCTTGGAGGTCCGGTGAATAGTCGGATGGTTCCTTTGCTGATGAGTGGATTAAGAAAATTAGAAGATCAAGAAAAGTCTGAATTCGATGGCTTCGAAGAAAAACTGTCACTTGAGAATACTTCAGCTGTGAGAGTGAATGCTCTCGAAATGGGATTGATGTGCAGCGATGCACCAGACCTTGCGTTCAGTTATAAACCAGCACCGACGATTGAGATTGAAAAGGCAGCAAGGGAAGCTGGATTGTTGTACAGTTTACATGGACCCAAGGATGATGCTGATGAGAGTGAACAAATATCAACTTCACACGAAGGCAGTCATGAGTCAAAACATTCCTTGGGGCTGCTCACTGAAACTCTGCCATCGCTTTCCCTGAAGGCAAGGAGTGCTACAATTCCAAGATCAAAGACGTTCGACGAGCCACCTTCAAATCGATTACCAGCGATGGAGCAGCAAGAACAAAATTTTGAAGACACCAGTTTGAAGCTGACGGAGTCAAATTTTAACGAAGACCAAGCACCAGCCGAACAACACAAATCGAAACGACACTCCAAGTATCGGCGCCACAATAACCATAGAAGCCGCCGCCGCCGGCCCAATGGGCGAGCCAGCCAAGGCAGTTACGGCTTCTAGGGAAGTTTTTTTGCAATTTGAAGAGGTAGAATAATCGTCTTTTCCGTGCTTTAAAAGTTCGAAGTGCACATTTTTTTGTTCCCAGATTTTTTTTGTATTTTCCCATTTCCAGAAAATGCTTACACTTGGCATTCGTTCATGTTACAAACAGATGCATCAGCGAAAGAACCAATCCAGATGAAGCCAGCGCTGTCAGAGGGTTATCCACAAATCTGGCAACCAATGTCTCAACATGGTTCGGCGAGGCTCTTGGCACCTTGAGGAGGGCAAGGAGTGGTTCGAGGGCTGTGGGAGCCCGGAAGAGGAAAACAAGGTGAAGGGAAAACAAGGTCCGGAGTTGTACTTGTGGGGTTGGTGCGGTGCGATTTCAGCGAGGTGGCTGCTAGTCCGTGCACTTGCTGGTGTAGATGTTTGCGAGGACTGTTGTTACGTAGATGTGAAATGCTTCAGAGAGAGAAGAGATGGACACATATGCAAGATGATGTTCTTCCAATCACGATGACAGTGCTTGGGACAAGTACATTAAGAAGTTGAGAGTGAAATAGATGATGATAAATACGTAGCATGGGAGGAATCTGGAAGAGCGCCATCACTGGTTCAAAAAAAGGGAGTTGGCTCCGGAGGGAATCGGATAAGAATCTTGCGCAGTTTGCAATCAGGTGCCCGCAAACCCTGGTTCCTTAATTTTCAATGTCGTCATCTGCACGATTTGAGCGTTTCTGCAAGAATACTCTGGTGGACGTACGATCTCAAGTGAACAGTTTTACAATGGCAGTCATGGTAGCGCTCGGTGTATCAAATCGTTAGACCAGCTGCTACTCCGTACCTACAGCTACCGTTTTAGTCGAGAGGGTTTCCGTATAGACATCATCCTTGTGTACACGGATCTTCATGGTTTGCTAGCCCTCTCGCAACAAGCAAGAAAGAAAAAGGAAAAAAACAACTGGCGCAAAAGGCACCACACGGAAAAAACCATCCCCACCCCGCGACTCATAGCCGTCGCGCAGCGTAGAGCTGGAACAAGTTGCATAAAGGCACAAATAACTGAAAATGAAATACTTGCAAGGAACAAGGGCGTCGAAGCACGAATATTGTTCACAGATCCCGCATCCCTTGTACTGGTCTGGTTGGTTGAGAGGATTCTGTGTAGATTTCATGAAAGAAAATGAACTACCGTGACCCGCCCCATGCGAGTTTACGACAAAGCTCCATGTCCATAGTGCTGCATTTCCTATACTTTATGTACGACCATTCATGCTTCGTGGGAGACGACAAAGATGTGACTTGGACCACTGTATCGTTTGGGTATCGGGGCCAAACATCACATCTTGGAACTGTATCGCCTTTTCTTGTTGTCATGATTCGGACATCCTGTTGCAGCCTTTCATCCTGTTGAGCCCTCCCTTTTCTGCCCTTACAGTGCAATTAAAGCCCTTGCTATTAAAACCGAAAGTAGAACCCTTGATATATAAAGAACCAAAGTCGTTGGTCTTGTGATCAACAACTATTCCGATACCGCCCAAATAAGCCCCCAGCGTCACTCCATCCTCTCCTCCTATGCCTTCGACGTTCACGCTGGCCCTCATACTGACTTTCGATAGGGTCGGTTTCAAATTCATCGAGTACTTCCGCAATATCGCAAGGGTTGAAGACAGTGCAAAAAAATCTTGGTCGAACACATCCGTTTTGATTCGCTGGGCCAGGGTCAAACTCTTCCCGTCAATAATCGCATGGATATATGACGTAATTTGATGTCCTTTTTCACCACATTGCTTCAAACGTCCGATTGTAGAGCCGCAAACCATGACAGGGTAAATGGCTTTATCAAATTGTACAACTGAACTTGCTGCAATTACAGTATACACCTTGGTGCTGCAATTCGAACTGAAGTTTACGGGTTCTGTTTCCGAAACAGACAACAGGATTTCTTCTGCCAACTCCCCCGCATTCACGCTCGAAGCGAGAATTGATGAAACGAAAGCAAAAAACTTCATTTGATTGTGAAGATTGCACGAAGTGGTGAATCATCATTGCATGTAGGAATGTTCGCGAACGTCGGACTATCCATCCTTCGTTGACGTCTATCCATCCTTCGTTGACGTCTATCCATCCTTCGTTGACGTCTATCCATCCTTCGTTGACGTCTATCCATCCTTCGTTGACGTCTATCCATCCTTCGTTGACGTCTATCCATCCTTCGTTGACGTCTATCCATCCTTCGTTGACGTCTATCCATCCTTCGTTGACGTCTATCCATCCTTCGTTGACGTCTATCCATCCTTCGTTGACGTCTATCCATCCTTCGTTGACGTCTATCCATCCTTCGTTGACGTCTATCCATCCTTCGTTGACGTCTATCGTACCTCAATTATGATCTGATCGTGGGGGAGGAGAAGGACGAGTCCGCCTTCATCTTCACGGGGGTTGGTTTGGAAGGAGGGGGGTTTGGAAGGAGGAGGGTTTGGAAGGAGGGGGTTTGGAAGGAGGGGGTTTGGAAGGAGGGGGGTTTGGAAGGGCCTGTTTTGCTCGCTCTTCGTTATTTATATCAAAAGCAAATCGAAAACACAAAAAAAATTTTTAGTCGGTTTGCCGAACATTGCAAGGCGTGTGTCACGAAAGCAGGCGGTAAAATTGAGGGGTTAGTAGCAAAATCTGTTCGAGTGTGTACATTCTTGTCCCTGGGAAGCTGCAGCAAACCCATAACATCCCGAGGGACAAGTAGGGGACCCAACTGCATTCATCTTAGGACAGAACGTCATTCCGTCTTGGAGTTCATATTTCTGGAATGAATTCGTAACGTAATTCTTTGATCGGAAAAAAAGAAAGAACGAGTTGAAGTGAGCTGGCCGATCACTGGGATTGAAGGGACCGTGACTAATAATTTCGCGTAATGAGAGACCAACAGAACTACAGGTTCCAAAGAGGTGGCAGTAGAGGAGGAAGCAGAGGTGGCAGTAGAGGAGGAAGCAGAGGGTGGCAGTAGGGGAGGCAGACATGCTGGAAGAATCCCAGATGAGAAGAGGGGGAACGCATTCAGGAATGACAGGAATTGTGGAGGGATGAGAATCACTGAATTGCGAAGGCCTAAAAGTGCAGAAGACAGAAAACGTCTTGTTCAGAAATTAAATTGGGAAATTAGCAAATTGGGACAGGAACGAAAACTTGGTGAAGCCGTTCAGGTGTTCCGTCGACTCTTGGATTTAGGATTAGAACCCACGATTGTCAGTTATACATCTTTGCTTAATGCGTATGTTCGAGCGAATGAAACATCGAAGGCGTTGGGACTATTTCAATCGATTTTGCGTGCTCCAGGGGAATCTCGAGAATGGTATGCCCCGAAGAGATTGCTACATCCGAATATTATCACCTATACAACGATAATGAAGGGGTTGTGCAACGACGGGAAACTCGTTCAAGCTTGGGACATCTTATGGGGTTTACTGTTGTCTCTGTTCCAGGATACAACGTCGGAGATCCTTCCAAATGCTCGAACTGTCAACACGTATTTAAGGGGTTGTGTCCGAAGCGGAGATGCTTTTTCGTCGTGGAGTTTATTTAGGATTTGCAAATGTATCAACGAACGAATCTCAGTGCAACTGTTCGATGGATGCTCAGTGGCAATGATTGTCAAACTGTTAGCGCATGCACAAAGACTGAATGAGGCTTTGGAGGTTATCGATTATTTTGAAGCGTTGGCAGCTAAACAGGTTTGTGAGAATAAATCGTCATTCGAAGAGGAAAAGGAAGAGGAAAAGAAAGAGGAAAAGGAAGAGGAAAAGAAAGAGGAAAAGGAAGAGGAAAAGGAGGACAACAATGATGCGACGATGACCAGTGAATCAGTTCCATGCGAGAATCATCAAGAAGACAAGATCGATTATTCAATCCCAGTAGAAGTGTTTATCGACATTGCACTTTGTTACGCAATTCGAGGGAAAGTGAAGCGATCAAAAAAGTATCTTTTAAGGGCACAATCCAGATTGGATGAGTTTCAGAAACAGAATCTAGATTTAAAGTTTTTAAGACATCGCTCGAGTGAACAACAAAGAGAAATCGATAATATCACCAGATTTGTATCAACTGTTCCAAATGGAATTGAAATCGATCAATATAGAAGGATGTTCTTTTATGCCACAGAAGGATCCCGCGTGTCTCTGAATCGATTGAAACAACAACTGGAGGAGTTGGAAATTGGGTTCGAGTTCAACGATGATTGGGAAATATCGATGGATGATGATTCCAATGACAAACTTCAAGGAATTGAAAACCTTGGGATAGCCAGATTCGACTCGAGTGTATATAAACAAATTTTGGGACAATGCTTCAAGAAAGACAAATTTAGTTTCGACCGGATATTTCAAAACTCAAATCCATTAAAATTAGAAATTTGCAGCGGATCTGGGGATTGGGTTGTTGCTCAATGTTTATCTTCGAAGACTGTCAACTGGATTGCTATGGAATTACGGCATGACAGAATATTTCAAGTAGGATCCTTAAATTGTTTTGATTCGTCTGATGGCTCCATTTTCAGATATTTTCCAAGGCTTTCATGTCAGATGTAGACAATCTTTGTATTATTGGAGGTGATGCTACGATCGCTATAAATTCTAAGTTCCGATCAAAGTGCATTGAAGAGGTAATTTTGAAATCTCAAGCGGTTCACATCTTTGTCGTATTTCTCGCTAGGTGTATATTAATTTTCCAGAACCTCCTCCGTACTTCGATCATCCAAATCATCTTCTCTCCTCGTCATTCTTTCGATTATTACATCCGTGAGCGCGACTGCCTTTTTGTATTCAACACTCAATTTCAGTCAACACGCTCTGGAATTGCGTCTTTAATGATTCAAGATTTTTTATTTCAACTCCCCTTCCATGTTTCTCTTTTCAGTATCCTCAAAACTTCTGCAAAAGTCTTTCTCGTCTCCGATAATATTCCTTACATCAATTCAGTCTCAGTGAATGTCCAAGCCTCGCTCTCATCGATCTACAGCTTTCCTACGACTTCTGTCGTTCATGGTCTTCCGCCGTGTTTTGATTCAACTTCAACGTCATACTTCGATAGGTGAGATAACAATTCCTATCCTTCTTCATTTTTCTGTTTTCTGTTTTTAGGTTGTGGTTGAATGGGAATCGAGATTCTCGCGGCTACGTCGTCTTCACAGCATCCTAATCATTGAATATATCAATTGACTTCCCCAGAATTCACAACGGCTATTCAATCAATCAGTCGACCGCGATATGAACAGATCGCAATGCCTGTTGTTGCTGCTTCAACGAGAGGTCTACAACTCCCAAACACCTCCTGTCTAATGAAGTGAGTTGACGGTCACAACAGGGCGGCTGGTCGTGGAAGCATTTTTTGAATCGAGAACACAAAGTTTAAGATCAAATGCAACTGCCTTGTCTTGAAAGAGGTGTCACTTTTGAACGAACATTTTGGCTGCCAAGGTGTCCTCTTTTTTTGGGTTCAACATAGGAGGTGGAAGACGTTCTCAGTCAAAAAATACGTGAAAATGACATCCATAAATGAAACTCAAAAATTAGATCAATGTCTTGAGTGGGAATGACGACGGTGACGCTTATGATGATGTTTCTCTGATTTCCGAGCACCTCTGTCTTGTGTTACTCTTTCCGAGTGGCGCATTGAGTGAGTTGAGATGTTGCTGGCTCCTTCTGAACTTGGATCGATACGGAGTTTACCGTTCCTCCAAGCATTTTTGAATGATCCTTGATAATCTCCATCTCGTAAAATTGATGCAATTCCGGAGTGTTTAATTGTTGCTGCCAAATTTTCAACTTCGCATAAACTCGCTGCTGTCTGAGCTGCAAGGTTGGACACCTGCTGCATGTAGTTCTCGGATTGGGAGATAGCTGCGTCATCCATGAATTCAGCGGGAATTGGGACTTCAATGAACCGAGGAACGTACATATTCAAGTCAACTGTCTGGTATTTCGGCTTAAGTTGAGGCATTGTGTATTCGAATGTCGTTGTCGCTTCAACCGGAACCGGAACATGACGGACGATGTCTTGCGGAACTTCTACCGTTACGTATTCAGGTATCGGCTTATCAACCTAGAAGATGACAATTGTATTTTTGAGTTATTCGACGGTCCACTTACGTATTGAGGAACTGGGACTTCTCTGATGACGATTTCCTCCCGAATTTCTGGGACTTCGATGATTTTTTCGACCGGGACTTCTCTATATTCGATGTCTGGAATCTGCAAACAAAGAAATGATGTGGGGAATCCATAGACAAGAACTAGACATCAAGAGATTCCTTGGGAGTCACACCTCGTGGGTTTTGGATAGATAAAATATAGAGAGTCACTTACTTCAACTATTTTCTCTTGTTTTATAATTCTTGGGACTTCAATGACTCGCTCTTGGTATTGAACAAGTGGAACCTCTTTGATCTTCTCTTGATATACCTGATAACACCGATTGATTTTATGAACTACAACAATTAAATGAGACAAATTGGTCAAATCAACCCTCATTCCATAGAAGAAATGCGACATAGAATGCGACCAAATGATGAGCTTGTCTCTCTCCCTTCCCATGACTCAATCAGCCATGAAATTTCTACCTTTTCAGGAACTTCGATGATTTTTTCGACCTGATTTGAAATCACGATAAGCCTGATTTATCAGAACCGTGGACTCACGTAAATGATTTCAGGGACCTCGATAATCTTTTCTTGCACAACCTGTCAAAATACGCTTCAAAAATAGGCGCTAACCACTTCCCTTTATCGGAACGCACACATCTTGAAAATACTATTTTACCGGTTTGGCAATTTCGATGATTTTCTCGCGAATTTTTTGCGTTTCTTCAACCATGTGTTCCGTCACAACTCGTTCAGGAACTACAATGACTTTTTCAATGACTTCTTCTCTGACGACTTTTTTGGGCACCTGACAAACGAACTCATCAAACATGAGACTCAAAAATGATGAATCGCACCTTAATTTCATGTTCAATGACTTTTTCACTAATGACTGATCCCTTATGTTCCACCCTTTGAGACATATAAGCCGCAGATTGCGCACTCCCGGTACGGCCAATTCTATGGTAAGAGGGGGCCATTTGCAGCATTTTAATAACAAAGAAGCCTTAAAAAATTGAAAGCGCCTTCTGCAGGTTTTGTCCGCTGCTTGTCAGAAGCCCGAATGAGATCTGCATGCACAGAGGGGAGAAAGAGACATGTTGTGCTTCCGTCTTTTACAAAAATAGATCAGAAAACGAATGAGGTGAAGCAGAAAAGTAACATGATTCTCATCTAGTGGAATCTTTTGTTTGTTCCATCGTCTTCAATAATTCTCTCAATTCTTCCGGAAGTTCTTCGACGTACTGATGCTGTAAATCCTTGGGTAGAGAATCCCGTCCAATCCATCTCGCCTTCCATATCGGCCAAACCTGAATAAAGATCAATTTGAAACAAGACTGATGAATTCATTCTTACTCGGCATACAACACGCCCTAGAATATGTTCCACTGGTACAGGCCCATAATGCCTTGAATCGTGAGAATCTCTGGTATTATCTCCCTATAAAACGATTAATATTGGGGTGCGCTAACTTGGATTGTGTAACACAAACCATCTCACTCACTTGTAGCCAAACATGATCTGCAGGGATTCTAAACAAACCAGGGAACTCTTGCTCATAATGCTGTCGGTATCTGATATGGAACCAATCAGCATCATTTGGAAGAACAATAAAATCACCAGGCTAGCGAAAATCACAAATGAGAAATAAACAAGTGAATGTGTTGAAACTCACTAGAGCAGCAATTCTCTTGCAGACTTTCACTGAGTTGCTGCCACCCGACAAAGCAATGACAACATCCCCACGCTTGATATTATCGGTTGATTTCGTCCATCTTAAACTGGGAGGGAGTTGGGACTTCAAATGTCCCAACCGGTATCCGAATCGTTCGAATAAGAGTAAATCCCCATTCCCTTCAACAAGCGGTTGCATGGATGGTCCCACGGCCTATGATGAAGGTATCGAACAGATATATCGACTACGGTGTCGAATATATATATCGACTACGGTGTCGAATATATATATCGACTACGGTGTCGAATATATATATCGACAAAGGTATCGAATATATTTATCGATGATATTTTCAGAGACGCTTACAGGACAAAAATCGAAAACATTTTCATGAATCCAAGAGATGAGGGTGACAGCAATAAAAAGTTTCCCAGAAAATATAAAAATACTTGAAGTACTTGAGAATATCGAGTTGGGGGGTTCTGGTTTACTTTGGGAAGAATAGAAACGTGAAGACAGACGAAACCCGCTGCATCGCGGTTTGGAAGATAAAATGAAAAGAAAAGGAGAATGATTTATCGCCGGATCCACGAACTTCGCTAACTGGTGATAGAATCGAGGAAGTGCCATGTTCTGCTCTTTAACAGGTTCGATCATGTTAAGATCATAAAATACAATTCGTTTGTAGAGAGATATAAAAAAGCAGCCAAGTAACGACAGCTATCCATAGATTTGTCCAAGTACCCCCCAAATAGAAAGACATGTTGAGAATAAAGAGAAGAGTTGATGGTTGATTCTGGGGCTACTGATTATATCTTGGGATCATTGATGTCTGAACAAATCATAAGAATCGGAAAAGATGAAAAAATTTCCAACAATGTCCTTCGTCCCTTAAATGTTTGGAGGACTTTCAATATTCAATGATGACGGAGCGAACGACGTGAATTCTGCGCTATCGAATCCATATCCCCGTTGTCTTCGGGGAGTCGATCCGGATTCCTCTTGAATTGGGGGACAGAGGTTGTTTGAATTGGGACTGCACGATGTTCCTAGTCTTGCAATTTTTGTCGGTGGACTATACACGCCATAATCAGGTGAACTATAAACACCATAATCAGAAAGAACGAAGGACTTTGATGTGGGAAGAATTTCTAGGACGAAGGATTGCGGGGGGTCGATGATGTCAAGACGCCTTCGCTTTGTTCTCTCAATTGAAAGATTTGCGGTGACTGTTGCCATGATGGAAAATTGAAGCGCAGTCTCAGATACAAATGATTCAATATTTATACGCTGAGAGCTCCTTTTTTAGAGCACTTCAAAACCACAATAGCAAAAGACAGCCACGACGCCCATAAAAGTCCCCGTGAACCTGTCCCTGCTGCACCAGTAGCAGTTGATGAAAAGACGTCGACTAGAAAATGGAACAGACAGCACGGAACGAATCGATGATAGAGAAAGCGGCAACGACAATGAAGAGGATGAAGGAATTGAATTGGGACAGAAAGAATTGAAAACTAGAACAAGAAAAAGAAGAAGAAAGAGGAGAAACGCTAAGGAGATCGATTTTAATCTCAAATCTGAAAATGAGGATCTGCAGCATCAATGGATTGATGTTATTAATACGCTCGTCGCTCGACATGTTAGTGAATTGGGTCAATCTTCCAAGTTGTTCAATAAAACAATTCTAGATGATTGTATTCTTTTGATAAAAAAGAGGATTTCATGGATATTATATCGAATAGATGATCGAAGAACATCATCAATCGATAAATCAGATTCTCTTCAACTGAATGGAATCAACTTCTTGAAGTCAATCCTCCTCTCAAGTGATCAATTCTTGTCATTTTTATCGCAAGACGCAGAAGCTGAGCAATCCTTATCGAGCAATCCATTTAGCGCTGAAGTCGCTCTGCATTGGAAGAAGCTTCTCCAGCATCGAATTGCATGCGAAGTTGTAAAACGTCTTGCCGAATTGAAACCTTCAAAGGACACTAACGGCAAGTCTTCAGCAATACAGGAGCGAACAGAACGAGATGGTAAAGCTTCTAAGACAAAGACAAGACCCTTACTTCCACTTGGATTGGTCTCTGGTCCAGAATTTCATCGCGGTAAACGGGTGTTTACATATGGAAACTACAACACGTATTATTCAATACGAAGAGAGGCCTTCGACACTCACATGAGAGAAGTCAATGAATCATTCGAAAACCCGAAAGACTCAGGATCTTGTTTGCAAGGATCATCATCAACTCAATCGGCAGATAAAATTCGGTACATCGATCCTAGACTGCAATCTCTTGTATCAAAATACAAAGATGATCTTTTCACAAATAAATCTGTTCTTGATGTCGGATGCAATATTGGACTGATTTCAATTACAATTGCAAGTTTTTTTTCATCCATTGAAAGTCACTGGAGTGGACATTGATGTGCAACTGATCTCTAAGGCGCTTCAAACTTTAAGATCTATTAAATATCACTTCTTTTTCAAACATCAAAGTCAAACAACCGAACAAAGCGATGCAGCTCCTCTTTCATCTTTTTCAAATTGTCTGCCAGACATTCCAAAATCTAAAGATCAAGTTCCATCCGACCTGCGCCTTCTTTTAGAGTCTCCAGAAGTCATTCCGCCCAACCCGCCATTCCCATTCAATATTGAATTCCGGGCTGATGACTTTTCGCGATATTTTAACTCCTCATCTTCAGCGTATGACACAATCTTGGCACTTTCTGTAACTAAGTGGATTCATCTGAATACTGGAGATCAAGGGATTCAAAGAACATTTCGAAAAATTTACGATTATCTGAAACCAGGTAAGCACGTATCCAGAAACTCCCATAGTCCTTCGTTCGTTGCGTTCAGGAGGACATTTTGTTCTCGAACCCCAAGGATGGGATTCCTACAGGAAGAAGCGAAGGATCAAGGAGGACTTCAAATCGACGCTACCCACAATTATTTTCAAGCCTCATCATTTTGACGACTATTTGCAAAAAGAACTTAAATTTCAACTTATTGAAATTTTCGAGTTAAATAAAGATCTGCATAAAGGAAGTCATAATTCAGATTTTTACAATCGTCCTCTATTTGTTTATCGCAAACCAACAAGCACAACACAACAAACTTCTCAATAGCCAATCTGCGGCCAACCCGACGAAATGTTTAAACACGCTCTCTCTATAGGTTTCAGATATAATCATCGCCAGGTGCCACTGGAAAACAGAAAGAACCAGGGAAGCTACCCCCTTAACTTTTTGAGTGTCTATTAAGGAGATGATTGCAGACATTCTAGGGGTCCAGAAAACAACAATTAAAAATGTCGTTAACTTAAATGAAAGACTGAAGGCAACAAAGCCTCCGCGTAAAAAGGGACCTACTGGAGTCGCGCGAGAAGTACTCCAACTCTATGGAAATGCGTCCCTAGCATCGTTACCGATACAAGCGAGCGAAGGTATATGAAACTAATGATAGGAGGGACATGGAGATGATCATACTTGTGTGTCATTCTCTCATTTGTCCGTTTTATTGCTTGTTAAATTAATAAAATTCTTTCTTCAGGCTTTAAAAGTCGTCGTGATGGAGAAACAACTCGATGGGTTTGGTGCGAATTCAGTAATTCGGCACATCCCGCAAAGATTCATCTACATCATTGGCATCGATTGAGTGACACAAAGAAGAAGGACGAAGATGAAGATATTCAGATGAATGAGAACGATCAAAAGCCATGTTGCAAGTTTAGGGCTGTCTCAGATTATGGACCGGCTTCGTTTAACAAGAAGGCACAAGTTGTTCGCTATTCACCTTCATTTTATGCGAAACATGTTGCGGTAAATCCCAAATGCGAAATTGTTTCTTCCATTTGGAGCACGATTGGTGGCGCTCTCTGTGACGAATCCCTTTACATTAATTTTATGTTTCTTTCCTCAGCCTTCTTCAGTTGGATGGAGTTCCTGGGAAACGGATTATCTTTTCGATTTGTGCGACGAGTTTGATTTGCGATTCACAGTAATCTATGATCGTTACGCACCTCTTACACTCTTAAGACAAGCTCTTTCAAAGGCAAAGGGCGTCCAAACAGATACGAAGGTGAAGCACGTATCAAAATCAAGGAAGAAGTCAGATTCAATCGTCCTTGGGTCGTTCTCAGCCACAGCGGCGTTATCCTTGATGCCTGCTGATCGCATTAAAAGCCTTGTCGAACAAATTGAACCATATCAACCAAGACCATTAGAATCGTTGAAAGACAGGTAAGACCGTCTGCATTGGGGTTCTCTGCTGAGGGTGGGGAGGGAGTTTATCTCTCACTATGGATGTCTGCAAGCTTTCCAATCGAGCTTCTATGCCTTCGACGTTATCGGTTCTCCTTCTCGCAGATATTATTCTATCGCAAGAAGTTTAGTTGAACATGAATTTAGAAAAAAAATCCAATCAGTGGAAGCAAGGTTCAATGAAATGTCCCAAACGATCGGAAATCAAACAAATATTGATGCATTGGCTCATCAAAAAGCCCAGTTAGTGGCCGAAACAAAAGAGGAGTTGAACAGGCACCCATATATCAAATTTCATTATGAGTAGGTTTAATTCTTGAAATCATGTTCCTACGACTGATTGCTTCACCACAGCCCTCTCGTCGACAAACAAAGGAGAGAATATCTAGATATGCAATACAAACAAACAGGAGAAAAAGAGAGGAGAAGTGAAAAGCAACTATTGCAGCAACTATCTAAGGCCGAGTTTGTACGCATTGTGCATCTGTCCTGCAAAGCTTCAGTGAATGCATTGTGTGTTTTCAGGCGTCCAGGAAGACGTCACGTGATGAGTCAGCTCTTGGTTCGGCGAAGAAAAGAAAACCTGCACGTGGGAGCACAACTCCTACAGCTCCTACTGCTGGCGTTTCTGGGGAAGAAGACTTGAAGCTGCCAGTAAGGTGTCGTTGATGATGCTACGTGACATTTGAATCTTCAGCTTGAAGCTGTTCAACAGCATCTGTCAAATCACCGCCGGCCAGGAACAATATTAGCGTCTCAGATGATGCAACAGTTTGCGTCTCCTTTGCTTCTAGCCCTCCCATCAACTTCTCAAGCCGCAGGAGTTCAAGCGCCTGGTAGTGCCCCAGCTGCCGGTACGTGATTTCGATGTACAAACTCAATTGCGGTTTGATTTTGTCGAATTTTTCAGGCAACACCTCTGGTCGGCATTCCACCGGCCATCATCATCATCCTCACACACTCCAAGTCTTCAAGAAACATGAACAGAAAATAGAACAGGAATTGAAAGCGTTAGGGTTTGACACAAAAAACTTTACCGTTGTGGCCAAATTATAGCGACCGTGAGGTTGTAGAAGTCTTCAAGTGAGAAGAAATTGACCCTAATCCAGATGGTATCATTTTTCTATAGCGCCCTTCGTGTTGATGTTGCAACCCTCGTTCAATGTAACGCCAAAATCGAGCAACTAGAAAAGGTATGAATATCTTTGCTTTCATACGTTCAATTTTGGAAACACCTTTCTAGGAACGCAGTATTTGGCGGGGGAAAGTGAATCAAATGAAAGAAGAGTCGACGAACACCGCCAATCAATCGCCAACAGGTGATGAATTAGGACGAAAAGCAGGAGATGCTAGCGGTGGATACCAATCCGGACACACAACCAGCAAGTAAGTTTTGCTCTCGTTCACTTAACTGTAATCTGATGAACCTAACAGGAAAAAGCACGCAAGGCAAAGCATAGGAGCAGCTGCAAGCGAGCGACCAGCAAAGAAGCCAAGAAAGACTTCGAAAAAATTGGGTGGAACGAAGGAAAGTGGAGTGCTGTGAACATTTTTCGATGATTTGTTTTGTACACAAGTCAACCCATAGACTAAGCAGCAATCAGTTCATTTATTGCAATTCGTAATCAAACATGGATCGTCTAAATTCGGGACCTGACTAGGAGATTTTTTTGTATCTTGACAGACTTCCTCAGCTTCAGTAAACCTGATCTATGGCCGTTGCTGCATCATCAAATATTTCAGGGGGTCCGCTCTCATCATCTGTATTGAATTCTGGCTACGATGAAATCTCAATCACACGTTACATCACTGCACAAGTGCGCAATTACGGCCATCACAGAGACCAGCTTCGCTTATTTCTATCTGAATTTTGCGAAGACAACTCCAATGAAGTTGGTGCTCCTCATGGAACGAAAAAATATTTGAATCAGCTGGTAGGATGGGAGAGATAGCAGAGATGATCGTTAAATCCTCATTATCTCAGCAACGCATAACAAACAAGCAGTCGACGGTGCTGAAAGTTCATGTGGAAGATTTAATAAAAGTAAATAAATCTGTGATCTCACTCCCTCTAGATCTGACTTTTTCTGTCGCCTTGACCGTCTGCGATCTGACGGATTCTCTGTCTTCCATTTCAGTTCTTCGAAGAGGGTCATCTCAACGAGTTGGATGCCTCGATTCCTGAATGTGTCGTCAACAATTGCATGCGTTATATCCAATTGTTATATGAAGCAGCTGAAGAGATTCGGAAATCAAAAATCGTAACAACAGAAGAATCGTCAACAGAGACAGAGACTAACATCGATATTTCAGAGTTTGAAAGAGGTTTGGGACATTTGGAGGTGATGGAGCGAGCTAAAGTCCCCGTCCACATGCGTGTCCCCCTAGTGAGTGCTTCAGGATTGTTGATAGTTGTAGACTTTCTTTTTTCCCATTCGCAGCGAGATACGCTTGATTCCAGTATCAATTGCAGAAACCCTGTCTGTTCGAGACGTCAGATCAAAACATATGGGACGACTTGTTAGAATGGAAGGCGTGGTGACAAAAGTGTCAACAGTTAAACCGAGATTGCAGATTGCGTATTATCGATGCGAAGACTGTGGATGTGAAGCACACCAACCAATTGACGCCCCATCGTTCATGCCATTAATGTTTTGTCAATCTGAAGCGTGTCGTAATAATCAGAAGAAGGGCGAGTTAACTCTGGAACTTGTGGATTCAAAGTTCATTAAGTATCAAGAAATTAAGATTCAAGAACCCGCCAATCGAGTCCCAACAGGCTCAATTCCCCGAACTCAAAAGCTTGTTGTGGAGGGATCACTGACTCGTCGTCTCGTCCCTGGAATGAGTGTCGTTCTCGCTGGAGTCCTTCTTCCTGTCCAAAACACCGGATACCAAGCTCTTCGCTCCCATCTAATAGCAGAAACAAAATTCCACGTCCAAGATGCGATTGTGGCGAAAAAAGGATACGAGGAAAATATGAATGGGTTGAATCTTGAAGAGAACCAAGAAACAGCAAAGATTCTTGATCGCTACAAAAACGATCCTGAGTTGTACGAAAAAATGGCTCGATCGATGGCTCCATCAATCCATGGCCTTGAAGATGTTAAAAAAGTTCTTCTGCTTCAACTGGTTGGAGGAGTAACAGAAAAATTTGAAGATGGAATGCAATTGCGTGGCGATATTCATGTTCTGTTGATGGGCGATCCCGGAGTTGCTAAAAGTCAATTATTGGGGCAGATCTGCAGAATTGCACCAAGAGCACATTACACTACAGGTACGAGCAAGAACGGAAGAATTCAGATCATGATGACATTTCAGGAAAGGGGAGTAGCGGCGTCGGTCTGACAGCGTCCGTTGTACGGGACCCATTAACGGGAGATTTCACACTAGAGGGTGGAGCTATCGTGTTAAGCGACAGAGGGGTGTGCTGCATTGATGAGTTTGATAAGATGGACGAATATGATCGAACAGCAATCCATGAAGTGATGGAGCAGCAAACTGTCTCTATCAGCAAAGCTGGATTAACAACCACATTGAACGCCAGGACGTCAATACTTGCTGCTGCTAATCCTCAGTATGGACGCTATGATATAAGAAAGACTCCAATGCAAAACATGAATCTTCCTGCTGCGTTATTATCCCGATTCGACATTCAATTTTTGCTGTTGGATAAAGCAGATCGCGAGGACGACTCGAGATTAGCAAGACATGTGTTGAAAGTGCATCAACTGTCATCATCCGCTAATCGAGTGGACTCGACCGCGACGAATGGAGGAGGAGTCAGTCGCGATATAGATGGACAAGAGATTTTTGATGCCGCAACGATTCGATTATTAATTTCAAAAGCGAAAACTTACAATCCCCGAATCTCTGAGTACGTAATTGTCTAATGATATATAATGAAATATACCTAATGATGAATAGATGATGAAATATATCTGATGATGAATAGATCATGAAATATATCTGATGATGAACATGTAAAGAGATCAATACATCAACCGATTGTTTAGGATTTATGGATATACATAGATTCAATGGCTAACTTGAATTTCAGGACTCTGATCAAGGAAGTTGTGGAATATTATGTCGATTTGCGTCAAACTGAAAGACGAAACATGAATGCAGAATCGACAACTTATACAACACCACGAACACTTCTTGCTGTTCTGCGTCTGGCTCAAGCGTGCGCGAGACTTCGATTCTCTGATATCGTGGAAAGAGGAGACGTCGAGGAAGGACTGCGACTGATTGCAGAATCAAAGCGATCTGTCACTGAAGAACAAGAAGCTGCTCAGCGAAAACGAAAGAAAGCAGACTATCAGAGTGACATTCTTGATATATTGAAAGATATTGATAATCGATATTCGAAGCGTGATGGATGGAATGGATGGTTACCAATGATTGAAATAGAAGGACAAGTCGCTCGAATGGGTTTCACTAAGGAGCAATTATTGAAGACGATCGAGGCGTATATTGAGTTGGAAGTGCTTCAATGGAAAAGCGAGACAAACAGGGAAGTCGGTTTTAGCGTGCGTTTGAGTGAAGTTGCATAATGAGGGTGTGGCACTTTTTCCAAATTCCGTTTCTTTGAACAAATTTGTTTTATTCAACCAAGGAGTGACAGAAACAGCAGGCCTGCCGACAATGGAGAAAAAGGTGTTCAAAGTGTTCGAGTGAGATGGTTGGCGTTGCCTCATTTTCTAGTCTTGGACACTATTCCAAATTTTCAGATTTTTTTCAGGTATAGGCGGACTTCGAATCGCATTGAATGAGGCGATTGCAGCTCTTGAGAGTCGGGATTCAGGGGGAGAGAGAAAATCGTCTGAAAGTGACTCTGACACAAAAAAGGAAGCAATCATTGATGGGCGTATCAAAATACTGGGAGCTTATGATATCAACGCAAACGCCAATTTAACCTACGAATTGAACTTCAAAGACGCTCCAAAAACGATAAATGTTCAAAATTTAAAGGTTGGCGATCTAGACGGGAAGGCAACCTGTTGGCTTCTCTCTCCTCCATGTCAACCCTATACGCGAGGAGGCCTGCAAAAACAATCCTGTGATGCTCGCTCTGATGGATTTCATCATTTGTTGAGAATTTTGAGGTATTTCTAGCTCTGCGCAAGTTGGATGCTTGTTGGATTGGCAAGCTCTTTCCGAATGCAAATCCAGTGGGATTGGTTATTCCGTTTTCAGAGATTGTAAGTCGCCTCCGACATATTTTTTTGTGGAAAATGTTATCGGGTTCAATGAATCTGATTCCCATTCTGAGATGCTTGAAATTCTCAAGTCGAAAGTGAGCATCCCTCCACAATGAGGCATTCATAAATTTGTTATCATGACTCCATTCGCCTCATTCCATAATTCTACTTTTGTTTTTTTCAGAAGTATTCAATCCAGCAGTTTCATCTGTCACCGACTCAATTTGGAATCCCGAACACTCGCGTTCGCTACTACTGCTGTGCCGTATTATCCACAATAGATCAATCTGATTCCATCCATTCAGAAGAGGATGTTATCCACAGTACAGTTTGCGATGAAGCATCGAGGTTGTTTTTCGGTAGGATATCATCAGAAAAGACTCTGAATTCGAGTTTCTCATTTACTAAAAGGTCTTTTAATGACGGTAGTTATCTCGTTCCTTCCCATTAGGAGTAAAGCCAACGAAAATGACGCCAATGTCCCAATACTTAGAAGCTATAAATATCGATGACGAGATAAATAGAGATCTTATCATTCCAACAGAGACTCTACAGAAACATTCGACTTTTCGATTCGACGTCGTGGATGGTCATTGTACTGCATCGACGACTGTTACGAAAGGGTAAGGAATTTCATAAAATTTTTCCTCCAGTGAGGATGCGGTTTCTGATTTCATCTCGTTTGATTTCTTGGTTTTTGTCAGTTACGGTCGATTAATTGGAAAATCTGGACCGATTGTTGTTTGTGAAGAGAGAAGTGAGGGAAGGCAAAAACGACCAAGAGAGTCAAATGAGACGGAAGACATCGATCCCAAGAGAGCAAAAACATCAGTGGATGGAAACAGAAGTTCGAGTCATGAGTCTCAAGAATTAAATGAAATATCTGTGGATGGTTCAGAAATAGTGGAGGATTATAAAATTCATCTGAGTGAGACGAACCGTTTGTGTCCTCGAAGGTAACTTTTCAGACTGTGGTGTTCTGACTGATCAGTTGTGCAGATTTCGAGTGGTGAATGCTTCAAATGAAGTCGTGCGATGGTTTACGGAAAAGGAACTCTTGAGGTGATAAATAGTCAAGATGATAATCAAGATGTATTATGAATAATCAAGATGACTTTGATTAATAATCAAGATGAATAATCAAGATAATCGACTATTCTATTCATTTTTCATCTTCAGCTTGCACGGATACTCCAAGGGCTTCACGTTTCCGAAGCGATTGAAACGATTGCAACGTTACGCACTGATCGGAAATTCAATCAAGTGGGTATCAAAGTGTTCGGATGAATGATACTCGAATTGTTTCAGTGTTAAAGTTGTTGGTCTCCTGCTTACCAACATGCTGTCCAAACATTGTTTTTGACAAAACTGCCGACGCTGACAAAACTGTCGACGCATTCTTTTTTGACCGTCGCCTTTGTACAATTGTCCAAAGGCATCATCCCTCTTTACACAAAAAAATTCCAAGGCATGAACTAGCGAGGACCCTCAAATAATGGACTTCGCCTCAATCGCCCGAGATGAAAAAACCTGTCAGCTAAGAATTTGCAAGAAAGAACTTCTAAAAATGGGAGCAAAAGTAGTGATGCTGGCGATAATGTCACGATATAGTATCACGTTATTGCGATAGGATTAGCGATATAAGATCATGATGTTGGATCATGATGTTGGCGATGAATCTGTAGTAGCGGGAGCATCGGTTGATGCGGGGGTTCTGGGAGTCATATTGAATGAAGGTCTCCTACAAATAAACAGAATGACAGATGAACGGAATGCCGAATGGATGAATGTCAAATCGATGGACGAACTTACGTCACTCGCTGAACATAGGTAGGCGTCTTAATATCCAAAAAGCACTCCACTTCAACCTGTTCATGGATATGGGCCGTGTCTGCAGCAACCATTCCCTCCTAAGGACAAACAGGAAAATCTGGTCTGTCATTAAAATGGCTCTCACGTCATTCAGGTAAGTTGGGAGAGGCGCACAATCTTGACACAACGCTTCGACGACTTTCAAGTCGCCAGCGCGTGCAGCTGCATGGAGAGGTGTCTCGCCGAACTAAAAGACAAAGCATTGTAGGGTGATAGTGTGGTGAAAGACGGCATACATCGTCCTGTATCGTTGGATCTGCCCCCTTTTGAATTAATAGCGATACCACATTTGCATGCCCTTCGGACGCTGCAACACCCAGTGGCGTGTAACCGAACTGAATAAACAATGGAAATCCTCATGTTCAAGACGTAGGATCATAACCTACGTAATTAATTTCATCAATGGGAGCTTTTTTATCGATTAGTTTTTGAACAGTCTCAGTGTCACCGCTATAAGCGGCACAATGTAGGGATGTGTTTGTAAACTGACAAGACGCGGATCAATAGAACGTCGAAGCTGTGATTCATACCTCATCCTTGACAACAGCGGGATCGAGGTACTGCACTTGGTTCTCAACCTCCCGAGCGTCTCCACGCTTCGCAGAATAGAGTAGCAACGAAGGACTCTGAGTGAAGGATTGTAAAATGTCGAAAGTGGATTGTAACATGTCGACATTCCACTTTGATGGAAAAGTACTTACGCCTCGAACAGCCTTGGTAGAAGAATCAAGCGTTGACAGTATAATTTCGTCCTTTTCTCTGGTTCTCTCTCGATCCTTGAAATAATGGAAGACTTTATAACAAACAACCCAGAAGAAGATAGAAATAGCAGCCATAAAGCACCACGAAAAAGAAATCCAGAACTGAGAAAACAAGGAGAATCATTCCTGAGCTCAAGATTAACGCGCGTCTTACGAGGTCTTGCTGAACCCCTCCACAAGCGCCATCGATAACAGAAGCAATGGAGTATCCAACCGATTTACAATTAAAGCCATCGGTGGCCTCATCGATAACAGCCTCGCTGTCTGAGAGAAACACAGTATCATCTGATCATATTGATCAACTCTACCATCAAGAATCTTCCGTGCGGAGCTTCCAGCTTCTTTTGTCGTCGCAGAAAATTTCTTGATGGATGATGCAATGACACCAATGTGTGATTTCATGTCCTGAGACCAAAGAGGTTCATAAGCTCATCCAGTCAAACAATCGTATGGATAGAAGCGGCATTTGGAGGGAGCGTCACCCCGTGTTGGGTTCTGAGCTTCGAAAATTGTCTTACATTCTTGGATAATTGGCCCTTCAAACCAGCTGAATAAATTCCAACGAGTAAACTGTTGTAATAAAATTGTAAACAATCTGGAACCTTAGGATTGGAGGGAGGTGTCTGACAGTCAGCACTTCTTAGGATTGCAGAAAGCTTTCCAATGCCCTCTTCCCACGCGCCTTGGGTCCATCTTGGGGGCTTTGTTGGATCAAGTGTTTCTGAGCTGATGTCCATAGTGATCTCCCCAGTGCCCTCTGAACAAACGGTCTTCCCGTCAACCCCTACGCAAAAATGAATTGCCTTTGTACAGCCTGCTTTCTTCGCCAAATTCACCAGTGCATTCATGTGCTGCGATATGCTGTAGATTTTCTTCGGATTTGCAAATCCGTTGTAGCAATCGGGAGTGCCAACCTTCCATTCGGGGAATTTATCTTCAGCATTCAATTTTGCTCCACTGGAAATGGTTTCTAACAACAAATCGAGTTTTGAATCTGTCGAAGCATCAATAGTTGACTCTTCACTTCCGCTGTACAAAATATCCGAATCGATGAATGAAACACTAGCCTCCACTTTATAAGCCTGAGGTGAGATCATGATTGTTCCTTTTAGTGCTTCCATCGAATTCAGGGTTTCCTCATACTCGGGCCTCTTGGCGCCACTAGGCTCCTTCTCTACACCGTCGATGTGCTTGCGTGAGTTACCAATTGACTCCTTTGCTACTTCAGTAGAATCCGCAAGAGTATCCTTGACTATCTCGCCATTTCCTGAATTTGCGTAACAAGAGTCAATCATCTTTGTGAAAGAGTTATCAGGATCATTAGGGTAGAGATGTTTCAGGGCATCATAATCGCGCAGAATTGAAGGATCCTTCGCTGATTCCTTGATCAATCCACACCCTCCATTTGAAACAGACAAAGCCATCAACACTATGATTCCGAAAACGAATACTGTTTCGATAATTTAAAAGAGAAAGATGATCGGAAAGTTGAAGAGGACTACTCTTACGAATGACTCCAGTGAAAGCAAACCAGCCCCAAAAGAATGCTAACCAATTAGCGTATTTCTTGTGGTTGGGCTCAGTCTCATTCTTATAATGCCTTCTGATTTTGAGCATGATAATTAGAACTGAAAAGAAAGAGCGATTCCGTCAACGTCGGAGATTTTACTTACCGAAAAATACTCCAATCAAGGAAAGGATTGAAATCACCAAAAATGGAATGAATCCAAGTTCAACAAGCGAAGGGACAAAATTATACATCAACGTCTCAAGAATTTCCTTCGTCACGACATCTAGCTTCTCTTTAGAATTTTGAACAGTCGTGCGAGCATCTTTCACAGCGTCCTGAGGAACGATAATGAAACTTTCAAACTTAGAAACCCTCGTGGGATTCCAATAATCCCCCTCTTTATCATACACTCCATCTCTCAGCGATTCCTCACCGCAACGTCCGATTCGATTCGATTTAATTCCTTTTTCGCGTTGTCGCCTTTTTCGACAACCGATTCGCGTCCCTCTTCCAGAAAATCGCTGAACTCTACAAGCACCGCAACTCATTTCCGCTCAAAGGCAATTCTGACGGACCTGTTTTGTTTGAAACGATCAGCGCAGCAGCAGGGCGGTGTACAACTCCTTTGCTATCTTCTTCAACCTTATCCAATGATTTTTGCGTGGACGTTATCTCTAATTGAGAGATAAAAAAGATAATTGAGAGATAAAAAAGATATTCGGAGGCAAATATGTCTCCCAATATAAGCGGTGATATTTCTTACGAGTCCCAATGTGATAAACAGCCTCATCGATTCGTTTTTTCAGGACGACGACGACGTTGCCGTCCCCAACAAACTTATCATGTAATCGATTCAAACTGAATAAGAAAACCCGAATACGATCATCAATGAATACGATCAACAATCAACCAACAGTAATGACAATCAACCA